TATCCTATTTGTCATGATTCTTAAACTGCAGTTTCTTATACCAAGAGATTTGATACAGCAAATCCTATCTTCTTGCTATTCCCTTTTAATTGGGTTTGAAATTAATGGAAATCCAGTGTGATCACATTAGGCTGCAGCACGATTTGGCTTGCTTTGCTATAAAAGGGAGTAAAATTATCTTTCCACCTACAGACCAGTAACCCTTGTTTGTTGAAGGAAATAGAAGTGTTTACTTGTTATCCTATGAAGTTGATTGCCAGGGACTGACAAATGCCTTGATTCTCCCTGGGAATGTGGCCAAGATAAAACAGCTAACAGCATAGCAAATAGTGTAATTTTTTCCTGAGAAAAGTCAGTAGGATTTTATTTTTCACCTATGACTAAATGGGAGCATGATATTCTGCTTTAGAAAACATCTTTCCTCATTATCAATTTAAAAAAATAGAGCAGAGCCAAGATTTTATGATATAAAACTTATTTTTTCTTAAGAAAACTATAAAGAATTAATATCAAACTAATTAATATCAAACGAATATCAAATTAATATAAACCAAAATATTAAAATTATAAAACCCAGATTTTTTAAAAGAAGTAGTGAGTTTTCTGCTAACACACTTTAAGTCAGAGATTATATTAACATCAAAGGTAAATGTATTAGAATCCCCATTTCTGTGAACTCTTTTGTGGGTTAATCAGTGATAATGTTGTTAATGGAGATGTATTTTTACTTGTCAATAAGCACTGTGGTATCTGTAGGAGGAGCCTGTACGCATCTTATCTAGCATGGAAGGAGAATGCACAGTGCTTCTGGGCTTAAATCATGAAGGGCATAACAGTTCTGGTTTGAAATATGCTTGTATTAAACCTCTAATCAGCCTTTAAGTGTTTTTTCTTTTAAATGGTGGAAATTTCCTATGTGAATATGTTGTTTATAGAAGAAAAATCTTGATGCATTATCAGAGGAAATGGTATTGCTATATGCAGGAAAATTTCTTGACCACTGCTGAACATACAGAGATACTTAGTAAAAAAAAAAACCAACAAACTCACAGTGAGTTTGTTCTCCCCCAGAGAATGCACATAGACATGCACGTAGAATGGAGAGTGCACAAAATCTGGAATGTGGAACACTTAAAAGAAACAACCTTTGGGCAGGTATTTTCCACTTGTCAGAACAAATTGGTAATGAATTACAAACTGGTATCATTAGCATCATCCTTTCAGCAGCTTTCAGGGTTGGGTGGTTTCCAGGGCTGAGAGCCTGGGAGAATATTTTAATAGAGACAGCAGCTGTTGATGCAGCCTGGTTGTTCTTTCTCCATTCATTCTGGCTCACAAGAAGAGCAGATGATGCTAAGACTTAGTGTTCACAAAGTTTAAAAAGGTCTATGCTGTACTCTTAGTAGGTAGGTAGCAAATATTCCTACTTTACATATAAGAAAACTTAGGCAGAAGATCTGTGCTATCACAACACTTTGCAATACACTGTATGGGTCAAGGACAGAGGGTGACTCTGGTGGAGGAAAAGAAGTGGAACCACCCTTCTGAGGTGGTTCCAAGTAATTCCTACCTCCCAAATATTCCACCAAGTAATTCCTACCTCCCAAATATTACAGGCTGGTGGATATTTGGATATTTGCCCTGTCAGCCTCACACACTTAGTGCCCTTGTACCTTCTGTACATGGAATAACTGTGGCCTTGGCATAGGGCATGGTATACATTCCAAGGGAAAGAGAAAGGATTTTTTTGTTGTTGTTGTTTCTTAGGTGGTTGCATTTTTTGTTGTTTTCTTCTGGGTAAGCACAGCCATGGGTAAATTCCTCCAGCGAGTGCATCTGGGAAAAACTTGAGGAGCTGGCTTCAATCTACAGGTTTACAGGCTCATCAGTCACACCTTACATACCACCTGCCTGGGAATCCCATACATCATTGATGCTGAGAAAGGTTACATACCCACAGGAGGCTGAGGGAAGAAAAATAAACAGAGAGAGAGAGAGAGAAAAAAAAGGAGTTAGGCTTTAGGTAATAAGATGCAGTGAGAAGTAGGATATTTGTCAGGTAAACAAAAAGGTGGCAATCCCAAACTCCAGCATTTCGGATAAAGAAGGAGAAAGGTTATGTCTAGGGCCATAGTATGCAGCTTGGTTAGCCTATGAAGAAGAAAAATGAAGCAAAGGCTTACACACTGTATCTCTGATTTAAGGGACCACTTTCCCCACAGGGAGTCAGTGAGGTGTGGAGATGCTTCCTTTCAGTGAGGCAGGCCCCTCACTGGTGTGGGCTCACTCCACAGCCTTAGGGGGGTTGCTGGCCAGGTCAAGAGTGGTGCAGAGGAATATTTATGTACAGCCAGAGGCTCGTTCTTCCCATGGCCTTGTGTGGACTGGCATGGTTTTATCTTTCGCTGCCCAAGTGCTGTGGCGTGCCAAAGGTAACGTGATCAATGCTGGCTGTGATGTTGGCTTGCCCAGGGGATGGTCTCTTCTGGTGAGCATGAGAGCCTGGGAGAAGCCATGATGCTGTCTTTAATTCATCCTGGCCTGGTGGAAGCTGTCTTTAACTTGCAGTGTGGATGTGGCTTTTCCCATCTGGTTTTGGACCCCTTTGCTGGAGGAGGCTCCAATGAAGGAATGGAGGCAGGTGTGGGGATGAGGGATGGTGTCTCACTGCATGTACGGTTAAATCATTGCACTTGTTCTGTGGAGACTGTGGGTGGAGATGAGGATGGTCAAGAGCTGGCTCTACTTGGAGAAAAGGTGGCACAGGGAGGACCTGCTGGCAAGTGGAGCTGGGACGCATGGAGTGAGCAGGAACAGGAGGTCCCACAGTGACAGCAAATGTGTGTCCATGGAAGGTGGTTGTAGGGAGCTGCTCACCCCCTTCCCCTTGCCATACCGACTGCCGTGGATCCACCCAGCATGGGGTCCCTCTCCCCCCAACATGGCTATGTGCCATGGGAGAGCCCTGGCCTGGACACTGGGAAATCTTGGCACATAGAACTGGCTGCTGCCAGAGAATCAGAGAGCCAGTTAGGTTGGAAAAGAGCTTTGGAGATCATCAATCCAACCTTCGATCCAACACCACCATATCAAACAGGCCATGGCACTGATGCCATGACCAGTCTTTTCCTAAACATCTCCAGAGACAGTGACTCTGGCACCTCTCTGGGCAGTCTATTCCAAGGTCTAATCATTCTTTCCATGAAGAAATGTCTCCTAATGTCCAACCTGAACCTCCTGCAGCTTAAGACTACATCCTCTTGTCCTGTCACTTGTTTCCTGGGAGAAGAGACCAACCCACACCTCGCTGCACCCTCCCTTCAGGCAGCTGCAGAGAGTGATGAGGTCCCCCTGAGCCTCCTTCTCTCCAGGCTGAACACCCCCAGCTCCCTCAGCTGCCCCTCACAGCACTTGTGCTCCAGACCCTTCCCCAGCTCCGTTGCCCTTCCCTGGACACGCTCCAGCCCCTCAATGTCTCTCTGGCACTGAGGGGCCCAGAACTGAGCACAGGATTGGAGCTGTGGCCTCAGCAGTGCTGGGTACAGGGGGACGGTCCCTGCCCTGCTCCTGCTGGCCACACCTGGCTGATCCAGGCCAGGATGCCATCGGCCTTCTGGGCCACCTGGGCACACTCTGGATCATGTTCAGCTGCTGTTTGCCAGCACCCCCAGGTCCTTCCCAGTCACTCTTCCTTCAGCCTGTGGCGCTGCTTGGTGTTGCTGTGACCCAAAGGCAGGACCCAGCACATGGCTTTGCTGAACATCAGAGCCTGGCTTCCTGTCGGATTCTCGGCTGTTTAGATGGTCTGGAAAGGCCCGGGGTGGCCTTGGGCAGCCCGCGCTTCAAAGGACGAGAAGGGACTTCAGATCTTTTCTTGGTCTCGGTGTTTATTAATTGTTTATCTAAAAGATTTTCTCTTGGCCTGACAGAGGTCTGCTCAGCTGTCAGCCATGGGCACACTCTAGGAGCCCCCGGGGCGGTCACTTATCTTTATACTCGGAGTTACGTATACAATATTTATCATTTTTCTCCAATACCCTCTACCCTTATTAACCAGTGCACTTTTAGTAAGGACCAATCCCAAAGTGCCAACATCACCACAGAAGATGGAGGCCAAGAAGAAGAAGAAGAAGGAGAAGGGCACGCCCCAATTCCTCCATCTTACTTCTTTAGACCCCCCTGTACAGAAATCTTAAACCCTGTATCTCACACTCCAATTAACTTATCCCTTCACCATTCACCCCAGTGAAATCCTCCTATCCTCATACTGATGTTGTCTCCCGTGTAGGATCAAAGTCCAGCCACCAGACATTTCTGGCAACATTCCAGGACTCCCGAGCCCCCCAGGGGTGGTCTCAGTCACTCTGCACCTCAGTTCTGAGGGGCTGAGATCCCACATCTCCCCCTTCTGTTTGCACCAAGAAGATCTCTTTCGCTATCCGATTCATCGCACGTTTTAAACATGCAAATATGCATGGGACAACAAGTATGAGGACTAGAAGAACTATTAAAACATAGAATCCTATCTATAAAATTCCTCTCCAAATGGGAGAGATGTCAAAGAATTCTACCAGCTGATCGATCCATGATCCTGTGATCTCGCCAAGCTTATTTATGCTGTCCTTTATATTTTTGATACTTTCATGAATTGACTTTGAATGATCTGAGAGATTCATGCAGCACATCCCTTCGAACTCTTCACATCCATGTCCATGAGCGAGCAATAGATAATCGACCGCCGCTCTGTTTTGAAGAGTCGCCTGTCTTACACCACTGGTGTCTTTTAACATGTCATCCAATGCGACAGACACAGACCGCGCATGTTTGCTCAACCAACAACCCATGCGGTCAGAACTGAGGTGCAGAGATCCCACAGCTTCCCTGACCTGCAATGAAGCGACAGACGCCAGCAGCCGCTAAACTCCCGCCGGCCGCACTGCTCCGCGGGCAGCGGGCCGAGGTGGGGCCATGACGGCGCGGCGGGGGCGGTGCCGGGGCCGGTGCCCGCCCCGACATGGCCGCTTCCTGCAGGTAACGCGCCCACTGGGCCGGGGCTGCAGCGTCCGGGCCTCGCCGGGCTCTGCTTGGGGACAGAGAGCCGCGGGGGCGGTGGGAACGCGGGCGGTCTCTGCCGCTGGTTCTTCATCCCTCCCGTGCCCGCCGTGCCGCTCTGTGCGGGGAGCAGAGCCCGCGGCGGCCTGTCCGCGGCTCCGGCTCCATCTCTGTCCCTGTCATACGAGGTGGTGCAAGGGGGAGAAGGCCAAGTCAGTCCCTACGTCTGCCTCACAGCTTTTATAGCCTCCCCCGTGTGTACTCTGGGCAGAGAAGAAGGGACACTGCTGTGCGGGTGGTGAGGCCCTGGAACAAGTTATCCAGGGAGGCTGCGGGTGCCCCAGTCCTGGCAGTGTTCAAAGCCTTGAGAAACCTGGTCTAGAAGGATGCACCCCTGCCCATGGCACGGGGTTGGGACTGGTTGATCTTTAAGGTCTATTCAAACCCTTAACATTCCGTGATTCTAAGACGCGCTCCTGTGGTTATTCCTGTTATCAGGGATTCTTGATATTCCTGTTTGCAGGGAGTGCCCGGAGCGCGGGGGTGTGCGGGGTGTCGGTGGGAGGTTTGGTGCTGGCTGTCCCTCGCAGACGTGGGATGGGACAGCCGCGGGGACATGCCAGTGCCTGGATATGCTGCGGCTTTCAGGCGCGTTTGGCAAGTGCTGGAGCTCTTAAATCTCACCGTAGGGCCTCCTGAATGTATTTTTTCCCTCCCGGATGTTTATGTGAATACTGTGTCCTTATACTTTTGCTGTGGCGTGACTGTGGCATAAAACCAAGCCATAAGTCAGTAAGAGAGATCGCGGCTTATGTGATCGCGGCGCTCCCTCTGCCGACAGCCGCCGCTCTGCTCTGCCCGCCCGCCTGGTACTTCAGTTCTCAGAGGCGGCTCCTACAGCAGACAAGCTTCGTGCATTGCGTTAAAGCTTTACATTAACCTCTGGAGTAGCTTCAGGCCAGTTTTGTAAAGTGTGTGTAACCTTAGCTCGTATTGTAAGGGGAACCCGTTTTCAGTAGCTACTTTTTAAAAATACTTGTTGTAAAACTAGGTGGTAACAGTAACAAATTTAACAGTGGATTAATCCTTTTTCTTCTATAGTCGTATGGGCCTTTCTAAAGGAGATGTGAGATCCTAGCAAATGAAGTTTCCTACTTCTATACAGTTGAGTGTGATTCCTTTATTCAGAAATCAGGGCAGACTTGCCTGCCAAATTGAGCCACTGGTAATGATGCAACAGACAAGACACAGAGTTTAGACCCAGTTCAGACAGAGACCAAGGGAATATTCTGTCTCAGCTATGCAGGTATTACTGTTTAGGATGTCTTCAGAAGCTGGAGGCACCAGAGTGATGCTGGCAAGCATGACACAGCACATCAGGAAGGTCTTCAGCTTCTTGAGCAGCAGGTGAGAGGCTGAGTGTTGTGGGCTAGGTCATCTCTGCCAGTGTTGGGTGCTATTTAGACAGCTGAGTCACACCTCAGCTGTCCCTTGTTCAGGGTTTATGGAAGGATAAAAAGAAGTCTTTCAGCTTTAGTTTCTGTGCTAGTTTAACAAATATTGTGGCATGACTTCTTTGCTTTTGCCTGGAGGATGTGGGTGTTTGTGAGGACCTGACTAAAGGCCTGAAATGCTTTCCCCAGAGATCACATGAAGTCTTCCACTATGTAGAGGTGCAGATGTTATGGAAGAGGCCTGACCCTTTCAGCTTGAAGTCCTTTGTTCTGCAGGCTGCATGATGGTGGTCTGGCTGGTATGGCTGATGTGCATAGCCTCCATGCTTTTCCATCCAAATCCAATTTGCTTAGCTCAAAAGTATTATCCTGTCCTGTATTTTTGCTCTCTTTCTGTAAACTCACCAAGCCAAAGGTGTGTCACTTTCCTGTGGAGTAGTTTGGGACTGCCTGACACCCTCTGCAGAGGAACCTGCTCATGTGTAGGCTGTAAAGATGTGGGCTTTTGTTCACCTGTGTGTGGCAAGTAAGGTGGGACAGAATAAGCCTTTTGGAGCCAATTGTGTAGGTGGTGATGCTTAGGGACATAGGGTTTTGTGGTGGACTTGGCATTTCTGGATTAACAGTTGAACTCAACCTTACAGGTCTTTTGTGACCTAAATGATTTTGTGATTCTATGAAATCTTGTAATTGCACATGTTGGTTATAGCAGGCTTCTGAAGGAGCCTGCTAGTCAGCTGAATCTTGGTAAGGGTGACCCAGTAGATGCACTTAGGAGAATTTACTTCATAAAAACTTTTTGTCCCTCTTTTCTTGTGAGTTTTATTTTTCCCTTCTCAGTTGGCTTCTAATTATCTTCTGCTTTTGGGGGTTGGGGGTTGGATGTTAGTGGGTTTTTTTTAAGGTTTTTTTTGGGGTGTGTGTCTCACTGTGCTTTCTTTTTTTTGGTTTAAGCAAGTTTGAGATTTTTTGATCATTATTTAACTAATGAAGGTTAAGAGGACCATTTCTCTGTGTACTTAACACTTGATTAAGTGAAGAATCTTTTAAACTGTTTGGAGCTATTGTCAATATTTTATAACAATTTTACTAGCATATCAGTGCTTTTTTAAAACAACATTTTTGCTAAGTCATTCAACACAAAGTTGCAGCAAATACTAATATGAGGGGTTTTTTTACCTTTACCCTTTTTTGTAGTACATTGTCATATTATCATGGTTGTGTCTGCAGTTTAGGTATTGGGAAGCAACTCTGCTGTCCTGCAAGCCAGAAGGCATGCAAGTGGATGAGTGACTGTTGGGGCAGTTGACAGAGTTAAATAATTACATATAGGGGTGATTGACCTAGTTTTGTTTTTGTTTTTTTCCCTTAAAAATAACTGAAACAAAGCCATTTTTTTGACAGGAAGAGAAGATGGAAGGATTGTTGCCAGGTCGTGATGATAAAGGAATGGAATAGGACAGACAGCTGCAGTTGCATTGTCCAGCTATACTGTTAGGAGGATTTTTGGCAAAGAAGAGAAGATACCTCTAAAATACAGGTAAGGGGTTGTGTTATAGGGACAGATAAAGTCAAAGTCAAACTGCATCAATGTCTGGGAGCTTTGTCATAATCTTACATGAGATCCAGACTCCTCCCTTGGATTTGAAGGAAGTAGAAAAGAGAAAGGAAAAGAATGTAGACTCAAAGAAATGTGGGAAGGTACTGTATGATCTCAATGTAGTGTTAGGCCAAAAGTGGCAAAAGATGCAGCAAAACCTGGAGAATGCCATTGACCTATAAGTACTCACTGATTGGTAAATTCCGTGTTGCTATGAAATTCAGTGGCTAATAAATATATATTTATATATATGTACACAGTTTTCTGTTCCTTCACACAACAGGAATGTGATTTTCATTAAGTTTGGGAGATATGGTAAATGATGTGTGGAGCATCCTAGTTGCTTGCTCTAGGACATGTAAGTCTACTCTCTTTTTTTCTACTCTCAAGAAAGGCAAGTTTGGCCAAATGTCACACTTGGTTGCAATTAGGTAAAAGGAGCCAAACATTTCATCTCCAACTGAAGCATTTGGTGAGGCATGAGAATAACTGAGAAGCTGAGACAATACAAATCTCATGGCACTTCCACACGTTCTTTTTTTCTCATATTCTGCTCTGGAGAGACTGCAGAGAGAAGGAAATTAGCTGAAATTGCTGTATGAAAACAGGAGGGGTAGACAGGTTAAAACCCACAAATGGATCTAGTGATACTGTGAGTGTGAATAAAGGAGTGAAGAGGAAGAGAAAAATGGGAAAATGAAATCAAGCATCACAGCAGTCTTTTAAAGCTTTATTTTTGGGAGAGATCCTTTTCAAGCAGGACACTTACTGTGTGTTGCTATTTCTACTTTCCAGAGAACCAGTATGGAAGCTAAAACCAGTGAAGATCATTTGAAAGTCCAGAAAATGAAGAAGAAAGTATTGAGGAAGCAAGTCAGAGCTCAGCATATGTTGATGAGACACGAGGGCATAAAGTGTGTCTCCCATGCAACACAGGTAGGTGAGATTTTGATGGTAGTGTTAAAATGCTGCTTATCTGTGTTCTCTTCTCACATGTCTTGTGTAAAATGCAGTTTTTAAAAAATGGACTTCCTGAGATTGAGGGTTTTCTGTGCTTCTTTGATTTCAAAGCAGAACTGTACTTCAGCAGTTCAGGGTCTATGGAGAGACTTTGGCCTTTGGATAAGGTTTTTTTTTTAACCTGAAACAGTAGTTACTTGGGTTGAGGAGGAAGGAGGAAGCATTGGAAATGCTATTGAAGTAGGTAAACTTTTATTCTGTTTCTCTGTGGTTTCTTTTTTTTTTTCCTCAGGCTTTTAACTTTTGTACCTTTATATCTTCCATGGTTCTCTGTCAAGTGTAATTTGTCTCATCTGAGCTCACCATTAAAAACATGTCTATCTTGGAAATCTTTTCCATCTTGTTTTTATTAAGGCTGTGGTTCTGTGGGAATTGAGCTGGTTAGCTGACTTGCAACTGTTTAAATGGGGACAGCTTTCTCTTTCCTTGCAGAAAAGAGACCTAGCAGAAAGCTGCTTAGATTTTTGATCTGTAGTGTTCTGCCACAGTAGAGTTGCAGCGGATCAGAGAATGACCTCACAGATACTGATGCAGCAAGAGGTGACAGGAACTTGCAGACAGATAGGGAAGTCAGAGTTTCTAATTTCACTCTCTAATTTATAAGGAAATACAAATGGCTTGAAACACTGTAGAGCAGTATCATTTACCCTATGCTTGTTCATCCTGATCCTGCAAATTCTTCCCATTCAAATATGAAAACATCAGTTAGATCTTTATACATTTTTGTAATAAAATTTGGTTTAATTTTTGCTCAAATTTCAAATCACATGGACAGATGTTAATGACTCAGCAAACTTGTTTGTATTGTAAACTATTTAGAACAAGGACTGTGTCTTTCTAGTGTTGCATGGAAATGGGTCTGTAATTTGGGACTTGTTCCCCTTGAAACTGTCCCAGTTATTATCAATTATCAATCTAATCTATCCAAAGAATAATTTTGGGATCCAGCAAGGTCCTTTTTGATGACAGAACATTTGAATAAATGATATGTGAAACAAAATCCTAGTGCTAGTGGAAAATTTGTGTTAGGAATATAGAAAATACTTCCAGGCTTTGTGCAAGAGTCTGATTATCTGAATTAACATCATCAGTTGCTGCATGTGCTGCAGCAGTTGTTTAGTGGGGGTCTTTGTAGATTAGGTGAAAGGAGTTGTTTGAACCTCTGCATGTCCTTCACACACATGAGTCCCTCCATCAATAACATTCCAGAAAATAGCAGTAATTAATAATGAGGTAAATCTTGAAAAATATGGTCTTTGGCAGACAGCCTGGTGCAGAGCTTAGAGCAGATGTTAACAGAGTCTTCACAATAGGCATAATCACAGCAGTGCTCAGTTTTTTAATGACCCTCCTCTTTGGTCCTAAACCTCATTTTCTGTTTTTTTAGAGAAGTAAAATGCTGTTGTTTGAATTAATTGAACACTTTTCCCAGCTGTTCCAGAAACCACCAAAATTATGTGTGCCAGTGCCACTGTTTGCTTGCAGTGCACTTGTCACACACATGCCACTTCAGTGTGCATTAACTGAGGAGGTGTTTCTGAGAGAGGTTGCAAGGCTTTCAGCCACACTGTGTGCTGGGCAAGCAAAGGTTGCATTAGCCTTGTGTAACAAGCTCATGGAAATGTAAATATCTTGTGCAGAATACATAAAAGAGTGCTCATGGGTTTAATTTTTTTATAGGGCTGTTCTCTTGGTAAAATGTTAGTTTTAAATGAACCAACAATAATCACTAATTCTTTTTTGTTTTGTTTTGTTTTTTAATTCTTTTTCATTTAGAGCCTGGTTATTGCCAATGCTGGTCTTGGTAATGGAATGAGTAGACAGCAGTTGCTCAGAATACTAGAAGAATATGGAGCAATGGAAACACTCTTAATGCCACCAAATAAACCATACTCATTTGTGAAATACAGAACAACAGAAGAAGCCAAGAAAGCCTTTAATGCCCTTAATGGAAAGGAAGTAACATTGGAAGACTGTGACCAAAACATTGTTCTATATATTAATTTTGTGGAAAAAGGTACAGTTGTTCTGCTCTCCTATATATCCAGCTTCCTGCATACTGCTTCCCTTTGCTTTTACTTCCTGGATTGTAAATGTAGGTAAAAGCACACTAGTTTTGGTAAGTAGACACAGAAAATGAAAGCTAGAATCTGAGATTCAGGACATAAAATAATCTTTGCTCTTTGTATTCCAGGTTAGGATACTCTAATTTCAACTGTATTGCTTGTAAGCAAAAGGAAAAAAGATTTGAGTAATTTCCTGACCATTCAGTACTGTGCATGCAGGTTTTGTGATTAAGAAGCCTGGAGAATCTCTGAACAGTTCATTGGATTTCTTGTGTGACTCTAGTCTTGCAGTCTCTATCTCAGCTCCAAGAAGAAAAATATGCACAGTGAAACTTCTGTAGTTTTGTTTCCCCTTCCCCTCCATATTTTTTTTGGCTGATTATAAGCTATTTACTGCAAGAACTGTTGCTCTTTCTGTGAGTTTTCATAGTGTCTAGCAAAAAGGATTCCTGTAGTACATTCTGCTAGCAAATAGCTTTTTTTGAGCTCTTAGGATAGCAAACTGAATGTCCCAACATCAATGATGTTTTACTTTCACCTAGGTATTGTTCTGTACTCCATATTTGTACACATTTGTTTACAGACTATTCTGTCTGTGGAATCTGCTGTATGGTAAATCACTAAAATTCTACAAAATTAAAATGAAATTCAGGTAAAACCTGAAGTGATTGGGAAATTCTGTTTACCATTTACAGGAAAGCCACAAGCAGTTTTGTGTTAGAATAGTGTAGTCTTGTTCATCTTATGCAGTAAAATTTTTAGAAAGTGCTGGAATGATGCAGAACTCAGGCCTTACCCTCTTTTGTCATGACAAAAAGGGATCATTCTTTCTCCTAATAAGACCACAATGAGAGCTCCATTGTATCACTAAACATTTCTACAGCTGTGCTATATTATCATAAAAATAATTATATCTCCATAGGGAACACAGCTTTTAATTTTCTCTAAAGAGTGACAAAATTATGTTTTTTTCATATACCTCAGTTTCCTTGCAAAATGCTGTTCCTACAAGCTTGCCTCCAGGCTTAATGGTAATTGAAAAGATTATTTCTCCAGAGGAAGAAAGGAGGATGTTGGAAAGTATTGACTGGAAAGCAGATGAAGATACTCAGAATGGTGGGTACAACTATAGGAATCCCAACATTCTATACTTTTATGCTGTTTTTTTCCTGCAGTTTCAGGTTACAGGAAGTCTATATCTTGGGAAATATAGTGTCAGAAATGATTCTTGGTTGCTCTTAGCATTTTAGAAATTAGGTCTTACACTGCAAGTGATCCGTTCCTTGGGACAAGAGATCTGAATTGATATGCCAGAACGGATTTACTTGAATAACAAACCTGCATCCAGAAACAATGAAAGTATTTTCTATGTGTCTTGTGCCACACACAAAACTGTTTGTAATTTGATGTCCAACTGAAGAGCTGTGTCTTCTTTTATGTAAAACAAATAACTTAGTGAGGCATACATTCTGGATGGTTTCACTTGAGCTTTTGGAGCTGAATCCTTGATTAAATGAATTCTTGGAAATTACTTCAGACTTCCTGTGTAAATTTGTTCCATGGAGCAATGCAAAAGGTTATTCTGACCTCAGCTAATGTGAAACTTGGTGATTAATGAGAATGATGGATGTTGATGTACCTGTAGGGTATTCATCAGGTGTAAATTCAGAGATCAGGGCAAGAAAAAGATGCATTAAGCATGGCTCAAAAAAATTGGTACTCCCTTTTTCTTGCCTATACAAAAACACCTTTGACTCACAACAGCAGTGAATGGGATGCTTGATGAATTAGAAAAGAAAATAAGCAGAAGTGTGTGCGTGAACAACAAGGGTCACATACTCTGTTTTAACTGCTAATTAAAGAATGTTTAGGCTTAACAGGTAGAATGGAATAGGGAAACATGGTAAATTGCCTGCAATGTTTCATATAGTCTTCATGTAGTCTAATCTTACTTTAAACTTACGTGTTTTTACAGCCCAGAAGACTTTAAAACATAGAAGAGTAAAGCATTTTGGATATGAGTTTCGCTATGATAATAATAATGTTGATAAAGACAAACCATTACCTGGAGGTGAGAATTTCCCTATTAAACTGTGCTTACTTTGCACTGATGTCTGAACCATTATATAAAGCCTGATGTTTGAACCATTATATAAAGTTTATATATCAGTTTGCACTGATGTTTAAACCATTATATAAAGCCTTTAAGCCTTGCTGAGTTATGGCTGTGAGAGTCTGGTTAAAGGAGAGCCTTTGCTGTATCTTAAGCACCCACGCAAAAGTGCTTTTTAATTTTGAGATTCTTTCCAAATTGTTGTTAGTACTTTAAGCTTGTTGTCCAGTCACTTGGAGCAACAGGTTGCTGTCCTTTGTTGAGCTCTGGTCAAATAAGGCTTTTGGGATTGTAATTGTCATTCCTTTTTAGCTTTTTGTTCCATAAAACAATTATGTGTTACAAATTGCATATTAATTTATTTGGGGGATATGACGTATGTTGCTGTATATATTTATCTCAACCAGCTTGAAACTTGCTGGATGCATGCACACTGAAATAAAATTTCCTTTGCTCTGAAAGCAATTTTGTAAAGGTTTCAATAACTCATATTGGGAGTTGAAAGCTGTGAGTCAGAGCAAAGCAAGTGAGTCATCTTATAGACTTAGATCTAAAACTAGCAAAATAGGAGAGTTAAATTCCTGTAAAACTTGAAGGTGTTTAAGGTGGTGCATGTGTACTGGGGTGGATGTAGCATGCAACAGAAGGATTCTCATTATCTTAAGATTTTAACTGTGAAGCTGTATCATTATAGGAGGATTGATATGTGAATTGTTTTCTAGTCTCACAGACTATCTTGTATGTCAGAAAAGCATAAGTACTTCTTGGGAGAAAACAAGAATGAAAATCAGTAGATTCATGGAAGGGATAGTAGTAACGTGTTTGTTGGTGTTACCTGCAGCAGAATTTTTCAATCAAGTCCTCTGGTGAAAGAGCAAACCAAAGGTTCATTGGAGGACTATGCCTTCCATTCCTGTTTCAAGACCAGCTTAACTTCAGCAGATTTTTTGGTGATATTTAATCTAATTCAGTAACAAATTTCCAGGGACTAAATTTTTTAGGGATCTCTTTGCACAACTGACTCTCTGCATAATAATTTTGCTTCTCGACTGCAACTTTTTTATTGTAATTGGTGAAAACCTTTCCTCTGATTTGATGTGGTTTTATTTATGTGTAGAGATACTACAGTTTGCATTTGTAAGGAGTACTCTGTTTCTGAATGCAGAGGGCTTGGAAGAGTGGCCCTTGTAATTTTGAGACCTTCAAGAATATCGGACTTGAAGATTAGGCCTCCAGTTCTGATGTGTATGTTAGCAGCAGATGCAGAGTAATCATCATTAAAGATGGACTTGCATGTATATGAAGCTACTTCTATGTATTTTCCTAGTTATATTGTAAAAAGCTGTCCTGTCTTGTTTACAGTTCTCTTTCTATAACCAGGTCTTCCTGAAATTTGCAACCCATTCTTGGAGAAGTGCTTAAAGCAGGGGTATATCAAACATAAACCTGATCAACTGACTGTAAATCAGTATGAACCTGGACAAGGTAAGTTCATTTGTCCCTCAAAAATTTTGAACTCTATTTTATATAGGGATTTAACCCTGGTAGGGAACTAGGCACCATGCAGCTGCTTGCTAACTCCCCTCACTGAGGTAGAGGATAAAATTGGAAGATAAAAGTGAGGAGGCTTGAGATCAGGACAGTTTAGAAAGTTAAAAAAAAGGCAAACAAAACAAAAGAAGGCAAATGATGCAAAAGAAATCCTCAGCTACTGGTCAATCAGTGCTTAGTCCCTGAGTAATGACATCCCTGGTAAACTTCACCCTCAGTGTTATTACTTATCACAATGTCATACGATCATATGGAATATTCTCTTGGTCACATGGGGCCACTTGTCCCAGCTGTGTGCTCTCCCAGCTGACTTGCTGGTGGGGAAACATGAGAACCATAAAAGACCTTGATGCTGTGTAAGCACTGCTTAGAAAGAGGTTAAAACATCCATGTATTACCTACACTGCTTTCATCACACATCCAAAGCATAGTACCATACGGGCACCTGTGGAGCAAATGAACTACAGCCAAACCAGTACAACTTCACTAAAAAGCAGGAGAGTGTAGCATCTAACTGTGGAATGGTATAGGAACAGGATTTAAGCACCTGCTTAGTGTATTTCCTCTGTGACCAGAGATGCTTTGAAACAAAACTAAAGTTTTAGTACTGGTTTCTCCACATGGGAACTTAGGTTTAGAATTGCAGTTGGTTATGGAAAATTATGGTGTTTGAGTCCAAGGTCATGATTTGAAAGCTAACTATAAAAAGATACAGGAATAAATAGTCATATTTGGTCTTCTAGTTCAGTGGATTTTTTTAGTCCGAACTTGTTTTGCTTCCTGTAATGTGCATACAGTCTCTAAGAAATGGAGACTCTCCTGCTGTTAGTACACATGAAATAATGTTAGTGCATGGGATATATGGAGTGTTAATTGAGCTGGTTGGCTGACTTGCAACTGTTTAAATGGGGACAGCTTTCTCTTTCCTTGCAGAAAAGAGACCTAGCAGAAAGCTGCTTGGATTTTTGATCTGTAGTGTTCTGCCACAGTAATATGATGCAAGCAGTGTTCCCTTATCCTAGCAATGAGGAATTACTGTATTTTTGTATTTTTTTCCAAACTGGAGGCTTCTGAAGAAAAACAAGCTTCTAATCACACTTCTAGGGAACAAATCACGTGCTGTACTTTTTGCTAAGCTTAGTCATCAAGGTTAAGTATCTGGCTTGCTTTCCAGGGTGAGTATCTCATTTGTCCTTAGGAAGAAAGAACAATGGCTTTACTCTCAGAATTAATGTCTGGCAGCAATTAGAGTGTCTGCTGAACAAGGGTCTGATCCTATTTGTTTGTGTATCTGACAATCTGTTAAGTTGATACATTTTGTACTTCTGGTTGGGACGTCTGAGGAAATTAGTTAGAATTGTAGATTTCTATCAAGAATGGAAGCAGAGTTTTTTGAAAAATCAAACAAAAACCCAATCCCAACACAAAATACCCTTTCTTAAGTGCAAATCATTAGGATATGAATGAGCACAGAGTGCAGTCAGATTGATACTGCCTGCATCTTGGTTCTGAGGTGTTTTTTCCCTGGAAATTATACTTGAAATTTTGGAAAATGAGTTATGGCTATGAGTATCTAAACTGGAGGGACCACACATAAGATAAATTAAATGAGATGTGTGGGTCAATGTGGTCTTGGTTGAATTACTGGTGACAATGTGGAGAGCTGTCAGTGTTCTCCTGCTGCACAGTGAATTGCACAGACTTCAGTGTGCCTCTTGAGGCAGAGCCTCAGTGCTTTGTACCGAGGCAAAGTTGTGAGCTGTAACAAACAGGTATCTATCTGTCCTTGGTTTTCAAGTCTCACTGATTTTTCTGTCAGATTAAATGCTGGTCTCATAAAACACTTGTATTGTTTTCCCTGAAACTAATGGAATTCAGAATATTTACGTCTGGATGTAAAATCTGCTGCATAATAAGGGTGCTTTATAGAGCTGACTAACACTTCAGAAAAAATTGTCTTCAACTCAGGAATTCTCTACACAGCCCAAAATCAACTTGGGTAGAATTTTTGATAATCAAATAAAACTGTTTCGGTTTGGATGGTATGGGAATGATTCTGTCTGCCTTGGCCTGCAGTGGATCAGAGGAAGGTGCAGTTGCAGTTTTCCCAAGCTGTCTGCTGTTCTCCCTTGCTCACTGCTGACTGCTGTTCCCCACCATGTGGTGAGATCTTGCTGTGGCATGCACACTGCTGTTCTAGCATTTGGCATTAAAATGTGTGACACAAGCTGCAGGGATTGGCAGTTTCTTTCCAATTAGCAGATATTAAAGAAAAATCTAAACAAACCCCTAAAAATGACTGTCCTTTTGGCAATTCTCAGTTATGTGTGTGTATATAACAGATGTATTACCCAGGGGTTAGCCTAGCAGGGATGTTGCTTTGCCTAGGAAGTGCAAAGCACAGGCAGACGTGATCCTAGCAGTGCCTGCCTCTGAGGTAGCAGGTCCTAATGCTGAAGCTGAAATTCTTAATGCAGTCATTTGCTTAGGAAATAGAGGGATTTGGAATTACTCCTCTCTGAAGGGAATGAGGAAGAAATATATTATTGTGGATGACCTAAAGCCCAAAATCGCCATAGGTACCATAATTGTTGCTTCTAAGGGTTAAACTGCCTGCAAGGAGAGCAAAGTGCTTGAGCTTCTCTCTGCAGCAGGGAGTCCATCCAGGAATGAGCAAGGCCTTGGAGTAACCTGAACTATCTTCTAGGTATTTCTACTGATTATACAAGACACTTAGGTTAATTGTGTCCATCTAATCTGGGCGTGAGACAATTCCCTTGTTTATGGTTAGTTTTGTTTGTTCAACCATACATCCCAGTTTTCCATAGGGACATCCATAGAAACAGAGCTTGCCAATGGAGGTAGCACTCTATTATTGTTGTTATTATTATTATTATCATTATTGTAGTCACTTTTTTGTTGTTTGTTTTTGTTATTTTTTTAAACAGGAATTCCTCCTCATACTGATACACATTCTGCTTTTGAAGATGAAATAATCTCTCTCAGTTTGGGAGCTGAGGTAAACTTAATGTTTGCATGTGGTCTGATGCTTTACTGAGAAGTCACATTTTTACATTGTTAATTTGATTTTCCATGGTGTCTGTCCACATTCATCTGAATTTAATATCAAGTATGAAAGGTGGTATGACATGTTAAGTAAATAAGTGACTGCAATATGATGGTGTCACTAGAAGATTAATTGATACAATGATTGAAAGATCATCGATACAATGATTTTTAAATTGTGGCATTCAGATCTCCATTGACCGTCCTTCGTATTTATTTCATGCTTTAATTTCACATATTCTGCCTTAGTACTGCAGCCCTGGGCTTTCTTATCCTTTCCATTCCAATGAAAAGGCTGACTCTGGCACTGATGCTGTCTTACTTCATTGATGTAACACCATAAGCAGTGCATTTCTAGGTTATTGTATTGCAGCATACCTCAGCATACCTGAGACCTTGATGGTCTCAGAGATGGCCAAAAGCACAGTGATTTTAATCACATGAAAAATACAAATCTTTCTGGGAAGTGGTCTGCATGGAGCATTTTGAAGCTGTAAAAAGCTGGAATGTGTACATTTCAACCAGGGACACAGCCAGACTTGGACCATTTCTAGATATTTCAGGCATAGGCATTGGATTGCAGCCTGTTAGGTTTCTCACAAATTTCAGTGCCTTTTCCTGATGGGCCATAAATGCACTTTTCAGGTGCAGGCAGTCAAAACACAGATATATTTAAACAAGCCAGTGGCCCATGAAATGCTCTGTTGTTTATGGTTTTTCTTTCTAGTACTTCTACAATTTTTTATGATTTCTTTGTGGTTTTGTGCATTTAGCTCTTCATCTCATATTAAAATTAAAATATCAGTTGCAGTAATATGTGGTTTACCTATTTTAGGAGCAAAGCCCCCTTCTCTATTCCCATTAAATCTTACTGCAGGCAAAATTTACACACTCTATTAATAAATAATTGATCTTACACATACAGCATCAACATTTGGTGTCTTTCTCTTCTTTGTACTTTTCTCTCTGTAGGGTGTTTTTTCCTACTTGAATACATCAGGCTGCAATGTGGTGGAAAACATGCATAAAGCCATATGTCTTGTCCTTTCTTTGTTCTCTTCAACAGTAAATGCACACATTTAAATAAAAAGTGCCATAAAGAAATAACCTTGCAACCCAGCTGGTTTTGTATTCTATTTTGGAAATTGGCAGACACTTCAGAGGAAAAAAAGGAAGAAGAATGAGTAATGGAAAGAGCATTTCTTTCAATTGCTTATATGCTTGTCCCTCCAGGATCTGAGTTAGGCAGATTGTGGTAATTAATAACTACAATAAATGCTTTGGCTTATGAAAAAGAAGTCTGGCAGAACAGAGGACTAAACACAAAGACCCTCCCAGCCTGGTGACTTAGTTATCACCACAGATTCTCAAACTTTTTGTATCATCTTTACAGGCCCACAGAACTGCTTAGGTTGGATGGAATCTCTTAAAGTCATGTAGCCCAAGCTCTTGATTAAGTAGGGTCAGGTTGTCCAAGACTCTGTCTGGTTGTGTTTTGAATGTTTATGCAGGTGGAGACTCAGCACCTCTGTAGGCAATATTTTGTAGTATTTGACCTCTGTCACAGTAAAAATCCAGACTGTTTCTTTGTGTTCTGATGGAATGGCATGGGATTTAAATTGTGTCCATTGTTGCTTGTCCTGTTGGTGTACATTGTTAGGAAGAATTGGGCTCCTTCTTCATTCCTTTCTGTCATTTATTCACACATATAAATAAGAGCCATCTTCCCTGACCCTTATCCATCCCTTGTCCAGGCTGGTCAGTCTCTACTCTGTCAGCATCCCCTTATGTAAAGATATTCCTTAATAATCTTTATGGCCCTGTCCTGGACTTGCTCCAATAAGTCCATGGCATTCTTGTAGTGGGAAGCCCAGTCCAGTTCCAGTACTGGACAGAGTACAAGAGATACCCCCTCACCAGGGCTGATAAGTGAGGAAGGATCACCTCCCTTTACCAGCTGAGTGCTCTTCCTAATGTAACCCAGGATGCTGTTGAGCTTTTTTTCTCCAAGAGTACATTGGTGGCTCATGTTCAGCTTCTTGTCACCAGGACCTCAAGGTCATTTTTAGCAAAGCTGCTTAATAGCTCATCAGCTGCCAGTGTGTAAAGATACGTGGAATAATTCCTGACCCAGGTGCAGGACTTTGCACTTCTGTTTGTAGAACTTCATGAGGTTCCTGTTGGCAGCACTTGTCCAGCCTGTCCAGATCCTTCTGAATGGTGGCACAACCATCTGATATCAGCCACTTCTAGTTTTATTTTATCTGTAAATGTGCTGAACGTGTGCTCTGACCCATCATCCAGGTCACCAGCCCTGGTGTCAATCCCAAGGGCAGCCCACTAGTGATGTTTAATTTGTTTCTGCAAACCTGATTTATCGTGAAAAATGGTTATTGGCATATATGTTCATTTTAAATATAAACAGTCTTGCAAATAAAGACATGATTCTTTGCAACAGTGCATTTGTCTTGCATCAGATAATCTTCAGCAATCCAGGTTCTTACACCTGCATGAAATGAGGTGAAAATGTAGGTGTGAGATCCTCTTTCCTATCACAGTCTCATGAAACAGATTTTTCAAGAGGCACAGAGGGCCAAGTGGTGGCCCTGGTTGGTGCAATCCATCCAGTGGTGTTTTGAGGAGTTTACAAGATGGATTAAACTTGTTTTGAAGGAGGAAAATTTCATTATTGCTTGGCAGTTCTGCCTAGCTTATAAAAAACTTCTCAATAGTTAGAGGGCAAAGCAGTGCAAGGTGATTTGTCTTGTCCTATAATACTTCAGGAAAAGTGGGGGTCTCAGGCTAATCTTTCCTGTATGTGACCCGTTTCTTTACCATCTTGTGGGAAACTGCAGAATAAAATGCGACTTTTAGAATGTCCTGTGGACTCATAATTGCATTTTATAAATCACCACATTCACCCTGTCTTTATAGGAGTTGATAAACTGAAATTATTAATGAATATCAGTTTCAATGCTCTGTTATTGAATGCAACTTTCTTTTATTCAGAAATTGTCATACTAGGAAAGACAAGGCAATGTGGTAAATTTAGATGAAGTGTCTTTTATTAAACTTAATGGCAAATCATATTCTGTATCCATAATTTTTAACAAAGTTCTGCAAAACAGGAACCAATCCTTTCTGTTGAGAATTTTGGTTTTATTTCAGTTAGGTGTTATTTTCAGTGCCTCCATTTGGTGTCTCTAAAGATATGCAGTTTTACAGTATTTCATCAGAAGACTGGCCAAGTTTGCAGCTGTCTCAAAAGAATCCTCATTTTAACCTGTGTTGAATTTTTCTTCGCAGGTGTGCTGCAGGAGCTTGATCAATATTGAGATTTCTGTTTTTCCAGTTTTCCTAACTTGCCATTTTATATGCTGCTGTGTAAGGCCTTGATTCATTAAAACTTTAGAAATACAGAGGTAGCATTTCTATTATGAGCTCAGTAGTGCTATGAACATATCCAACCCACAGAAGAATTTTCCCTTCCTGGCTGCAGATCTTACTCCCAATCTAAAGTTACCAACAACCTATAGTTCCTCCTTGTCAGCTCTGCCCTGCTGTGTCTGAGACTGCTGTGGGACACCTACTGTGCCCTGCCAGACAGCAAAGCACAGTCACAGTTTGCTCCAGAGGGATGTTGGTTTGGCACAATATCCTGATTTATGTTGCTATGTCCTGTTTTCCTAAGATGCAGCCCCAGTCTTGTCATTCTCTTCTCCTTAGCTCTGCTTTTCCTTGCCTTACTCTGATTCCTATGTCTTGGGCTGGCAAAAGGCTGGTGCAAATGCTGACAACTGCTGTGATGCTCCAGGCCCTGATCTAATGCCTGAGGAAGGAAAGCTTTAGGGATATCAGCCAGATTTGTGGCTCAGGGTTAAAGAGGGGGGGCTGTGTATGGGTCATCCTTGACCTCTGCCTAGCTTCTGTTCATCTGAACACAATCATCATCTCTTAGCCTGTGGATCTTAGGTGCTTTGATCTATAAAGAAAACCTGTGAGTCTCTTAAGCCTTGAAAGCAGAGCAATGTTTCAAAGAAAAGCTTCAGCAGACCTTTTGAACAAGCTTTGAGTATGGTCATTCTAGAACTGATGGAATGAGGTATGCTGCTTCTATTCATCTCTCAGTCTGATAATTGACCATTTTCTGGCACTTTTGCTTCTTACCTGTTGATCTATTTCCAATCTGTCTTGGCTAACAAACAGAAACCTGTGGCTGGTACAGCAGCAGCTGTTTCTGTAATAGCTGAGAGATTTTATGAGAAGCCTTTAGGAAGTCTAGACTGTACCCAGCCTTTGACAGTTAGCAGCTGTTTTGTGTCTTGCATGAGCTTTAATAAGATAGACAGGCACTAGGTACTGCCGTGTGGTCCAGCTCTTCCTCTGCTTACCTTGGCTAGTTGCTAATTCAGCTTAATTTGTTGTTTACATATATATTGGGGTTTTTTTCTTGTAAGGAAAGGCAGAAAGCATCTTACCTATTTAAAGAATTACTATGGTAGGGGCTATACCAAAGTTTTTTTCTCTATGTTGGCAGGATGATGGTAGTGGATGAAATAGTAGTAACAGTCATCAGTATTTCAAAAGATATTGTATTGGCAGAATCAAATTGTCTCTGAACCCAAATGGAAGATACTAATTTTAATCACTACAACCTAATGCTGAGTTTAGAAATTTGTTCAGATGATGTAGGATTCCTAAAGCTCAGTAAAGTGCTTTTCCAGTCTGTAAGACAGGTGCAACTCAAGAAACATGTCTTACAGTCATTGATTTTATTGGTTCTTGAAGAATAGCAACTTGCAGTGGTTTTAGCTGGAAATCCAGATGGACATAATTTATAATTGTATGCCAAGTTTAGTTGGTTTGTCCCATTTAAAGTGGTATTTCATTTTTGAAAACTAATGAGCTGCTCCAAGTGAAAGGTATGCTGAGCACTGCAAGGTAAATGCATCA